CACAGAGGATGTTGAAATGGTAAACAAATCAATTTCATTTGAATGCAAACTTCTTGTTTTTTTTTTCGATACCGCTGCTGTTGCCTTTCAACAACAATATGTGCGATTTCAAATATAATGTGTACACAATGCTTTCAGCGAATCATCATCATTATCAGATGTTCACTTAACAGTTGGGCAAAATTGGAAATAATTAAAATTCATTAATGAAAAGACCATTTTATATACAAAGCCAAACTACAACTGGAACAACAAAATCGCGAATTTATGGTGGAAAAACGTTTTTTTTTTTATCTTTTTACGACTCGTTGATGTATTTATGTATTTTGAATATTCAATGATTTTTGAAATTATTTAATGCATTAACTTGTTTGTAAAAAAAATAGCCGTTTGCATTGCGATTATTGGCGCATTATTTTGATTTAAACCTAATTTGAAATGGATTAAAAACTAATGATTCACACTTCACGCTAGTTTTACAGTAATCCGCGAGATTTATGTGTTTGTGTGCGATTTTGGTTTTCTTTGTATTTTTGTTTGCAAACTTCGTTGAAATCTAATTTGAAGTGGTTTCAATGGGAATTAAAACGCTAAAAGTTTGGAGTTAATGCCACTCCCACTATCAAAAATATGTTCATTGAAAAGATCTGAAGTCACTTCTTGTGTGTGTGTTTTTTTTTTTTTGGCTTTTTTAAAAGGGAGATATGAGGTTCCATTCAAATTCAGAGCAAAGAAAAAAACAAAACAAAAAAATAAATCAATTCCTGTGCGTGGTTTAATCAACTTCAAATAATTGAGCAATACAAGTCGCACGAACGAAATTGCATTGTGTCCAAAGTACGAGAGAAAAAAATAGCGGCTAACACGAAACTTAAATAGACATGAATATCGTCCGTAGAAAAATATCTTTTTCTCACTTCGTGTATCGGTGCGGTCTGTCAATGGAGAAAAAGAGCATATATACACACAGCCCAGAAAATGAAACCAAATTAAATTAAATAAATAACGAAATGGGGAAAAAAGTGTGGAAGTGATGAAAAGTAGTTTCAATGGACAGATATATGCACAACAGTAGCAATACACTGGCACAAACGTACAAATGCGCACGAGATAGATACAACAGCGTGCATTTGAAAAGCTGTCAGAGAAAACGGGAGACAGAAAGGGTCGAAGTCGTAGAAGAATTGGAAATTGTATTGGCATTTTGAAATTGATGTGCACACTAAAATCAACAACCAAACAAATAAAATCCATCCGCACACGAACCAAAAACACTCTGTCTAGCTTCCACCATATCGTTTAGCGCACCAAAACACCAAATAAAAAAACTGAAGAACAGAGATAGAGAAAGATAGAGAAAAAAACCGAAAAAAGTCAATTCAGCGATCAAGTTTGCGCACTCACGCTCGAATATATTGTTGAAAAGTTCGAAAAAAGCGAAATCGTGCTCAAACCAAAACACGATGAAAATATACACACAAAGAGAGATAGAATACATTCACCGAATAAAATGTGCACTAAGTATGAGTGAGAATTTTGGACAGAACGACATAAACACGCTCCGTATCAACCATAAATAAAATAGCCACGAGCGATACAGTGACAAGTGCGAATGCCAAAAAAGAAAAGACCACACCGACCGTAACAAAAACAACAGTAACGAAATAGATATAAATTTTGCTGGAATTTAGAGACAAGCAGGTAAAACCAAAGAGTAACTCCGAAAAATAACGAATTTGCTACAGAGAAAATACATTATAACCAGGAAAAAAGCGTGGCCTGATTATGACTGTAGATAGTCGCACGGCTAAATGTATTGTTATCTAGTCGTTTTCCCATTGTTGTTTTGTTTTTGACATTTCGTGGGGTTTTTTCTTTATCTTTTGTAACATTTTCTAACTGACGAAAATAAAAAATGTTCGCGGAATTTTTCTGAGGTGCTAAAAAATTGGCAAAATTATACAATTCACATTTTAATTACAGACGTGTCAATTTTCATTAGGTTTGTTTTAATGAATTTTTGTTTGCGCATTCGTATGCTGTCTGATGTAACGAATGTTCACAACTGTATTTGTGTCATGAGTCAAGAATCCTGACTAGAAATGTGCAAAGCGAAAAAATTCTCTGAAATATATTCGCATATTTGGTTGTTGTTTGATTGTTTTCAACTAATATGTATGTGGTTAAAAGTTTCAACATGTCGTTTCAACAGTTACTGCATGGATAATGCATATAAGACAGTGTTGCATATCAAATGTCCTTTTTCCTCTTCGTGTACATACAATCGTCAATGTTTGTTTAACAAGCGATTTTATGATGGAAATTCCATTGTGGAGATGCATACATATGATGGCATGCGCTATGAGCCTGACGTCAGATAGTACATTGTGATAAGAATATTTTTTCCTGCATTTCGGTACATCTAAATCATTCGTTTAACATTTGTCTTTTTTGGTACGGTGCATTTCCGTGTATTCAGCTCTTTTCGTTTTTACAAATTTCAAATTTACTTGAACATCAACAGTGTGGTTTTTTTACTTCATTTTTTTCTGTTCAAACTTTCAACTAACTATCATCAACGCTTTAGCGCGAAAGCAGGGCTGTTATTTTCACTCTGTCAGTGCACGCACACAGTAGTGTGCACACTCACACTCAATGTGCGTCGCACACAGTGCTTGTATTTTGAATGTGCACGCACACTTAGTTACAAATTTGCCAACCGCCAAAAATGTCAAACTTGTGACTAAGTGTGCGCGCACATGCAAAATACAAGCATTGTGTGCGACGCACATAGAATGTGAGTGTGCACACTACTGTGTGCGTGCACTGACAGAGTGAAAATTACAGCCCTGCGCGAAAGTAACGGCTGTCTCCTATTTTAAAATTGGCAAACATTACATCTCTTTTCGACTTTGTTGACAACTATGTGGTTCAACCTAGGGGCTCGGAAGTATTTTTTATTGATGAAAAAACACACATAATCAGAAATATTCATATATTTTGAGTTTAAACAATAATAATCACCATATTCACGAATATTGGTACATTTTGAGTGTGAACAATACTGTGAATAATCATGAATATTCCCAATATTTTGATTATCGTAAATATGAAAATGGCGGCAAATGATGTATGTCATTTTGTGGAATGTTATTTATAAAATCAGACACTTTTACCTATATATTTTTGATGTTCTTCAGTCAAATTATTTTTTTATCAAAGAAATATAAGTTTTTTAGGCTGAAATCTCTTTTTATATAATAAAAACAACAACTATTAATTTTATTTTGTGTTGTGTGTGTTTTACATCGGTGCCATATACGAGCTGAATAATGACAAATAATTACGTAAATATGAGAAATATTCAAAATATTCTCAATATTTTCCATTTATACACCACATTCATACAAAATTGTCAAAACTTTGTTTATTTTGATTTTTTTTTCATGTTCCGAGCCCCTAGGGTTCAACCTTCATCACTGGTGCCAAAAATCAAAAAAGTCAAATGCAAACTTTGAGATGTGTCTTCGCTGTTGCTTCCGGTTTTCTTTCCGTTTTTCTCTGGAAAAAAAATTGCGTCAACGGTAAATCTGTTTTTTACAGAAAAATATGCGCTCGAAAAAAAAAAAATTTGGAGAAACGGTCGGACGAGAGATAGAACGAAGAATAAAAAAAACAAGCAGAACCGACCGGAAGCAAGCATATTTGCAAGCTGATTTGATCCACGAGCAAATTTCAACTTATTCAACGATTTTAGTGCATTCCTTTCCTTCATATACGCAACCCGCAACGGATGTTATACATTTTTACGTGATGAATCCTAAAGAAACGATACCAAAACAATCCATCAGAGCAATTGCTCTCGCACGAAAAATGCTATGACAGTTCATCGAAATCGGTGGATATGATGGCATTCGTTGTACGCTCTTGAACACCTTCATTCCGGATTCATTCATCGAATGTGCAGTTTTTGATGCGTTGCGCACAGTACATGTGCTCTCGCTTGCATTGACAATATAAGAGAGTAAAACTTGTTGGAATGCTCATAAATTTTCCAACCAATCCACACCGAACCCACCATCGTCATATAAATCAGTGCATGCGCAGTGTGTATATCAAGTGTAAATTACCACTCCCACAATTTCCCTTACGAACCGTTGGCCAAAAACGCAAATGCGATTTGAAATCAGTAGCTATTTCTCAGTTCACCAATGCTTGTTTTTGACAACCGATGCCGTCGTTGTTGTTATTGCAAGGCAATCGACAATCGGATTTTCTGCTTCATATGAAGCCAAGTACGTTTGAGTTTTGTTGTATAGCGGAAGCATGTGCTTTGCATTACTCGAATAAAAAGGGGTAACATTTTGGCTGTGTGTATTTGTATGGAAAAAACGATAAATGGAAAAAGTTGCAGCCCACTTTATCGCATGAAGCGCACTTTGTTCTCGCTCACTCGCTGGTATCGCCTCTACTGTGGTAAGCAACTGAACAAAAAAAAATCGACGATGGAAAAACGGCGGCCACGGTACACACATTTCGAATAGAATTCAAGTCTAATGCGCCAGTCCATCCATGCTTGAAGTTTTGTAAATGTTTTGCATTTTTCCCTTCCTTTTGCTCTTTCTCTCTCCTCTGCTGATCGTCGTTTCTGTTAGAAATCACTTTTTGTTGTATGTTCCAGACTCTGGGCCTCGGAATATCGGTTCAACTAGGGAAAAATCAAATTCTCACATACTCATACTAACGAAAAGTCGCAGAGGTGGTTATCTCCTTCTCTCTATTGATGTGTGTTTTTTTCTCTCTCCCTCTCACTCGCTCCCGCTCATTCGACAAACGATGAATATATTGGGTGAAATAGCATGAGTGCAACGACGCAAACCGTACCGATATACCAAACTTCCATCTATTGATATAAACGATTGTTATCCTCCTGCTACTACCACTGTTGCTGCTGTCTTTTTTTATATGTCGGGCTTTGTTGTGCGTTACCGTACTACTGACATTTTGTTTGTATCGTTGTACATATTCATCGTGTGCGTGTTGTTACTTTCGACATTGTCGAATACCAACTATCGCGCCTCCGTTAACAAAAAAAAAAGTACAATACATGGTCGAGCGAGGAAAATGTTTCATGAGTTCAGTTTCAATAAACCGTCGAAAGTTGCTGGACGAACTCGAGCACCGCCGAGCACGATCAAGTGAAAAACAAAGAAATTACAAAACACAACTCTCACACTGTGAAGCACAGCACCGAAAAATAAGCGTTTTATTCGTTTTAATCTCGTTTGCCAAACCACTTTAAATTCGATCATCCGACACAATATATTACAGCAAACAGCAAAAAAGGTTGTTATTCCGAATTTTATCATTTTTTCGCGAACATTTTTTTTGTTTGTTTGTTTATTTTCTTTGTGCATTATTTTTTGTTTGCCCTTTTCTGATCTAATCACATCAATTTTAAGCGAACATTTTTGTCATTAATCTTCAATGTACGTGTAGTCTATATAAAATTGAAATAATAAAAAGAAAAACAATAATTCCCTGTGACAAAAAGTGTTTCTAACAAAAACAAATCAAAGAAACTTGAATTGAATCATTTTTGTGACTTTTGAACGAAAATTCAATGTTTTGATTATAAATAGAATGTCATTAAACAAGTCGAGTTAAAAGCAATTTTTAGTTTATGAACAATAACAAAATAACGAACAATACACAAAAGTCTCATCAAAGTCAACTGATCAAAGGAAATAAAACAAAAAAAAAAACACACACACACACATTCCATTGATCAAAGCAATAAATCGGAAAATTCTAAACAATAAACAAAGTATATCCATAAAATTTAAACAACAATTAAACCATAAAAAATTGTGCAAAAGTTAATTCAATGGTTAAATAAAGATCGAGCCGATATCAACTAAAGTTTATTTTCCGTCATTGCATTTCTGGTAATTTTCATTAATTTTAGCTTCAGCCAAAGTAAAAAAACACGAACGTTGGCACTTGATTCGACCAACTGCCAATTTTCAAACATTAATGTTTATAAAAGGACATCCAGTGCAATGAGAGAGAGAATTGTAAACGATCAGAAAAAAAAATCGAGGAAAAAATTTTTGTAGTAAAATTCATCCGTAAATACTGCTGCTGCAAATAATTATGTGGCATTCGAACACCACATTTACACTGTGTTCAGAATCCCAATCAGGTTGTAAGACACACATGCAAACATATCGTCATCCAGTTAGTCGGGTTTTAATTTTTTATTTATTACTTTCCCATATAAAAATTTAATGATTTTTTCTTGCGAATGTGTGTGGCTGGCTGGCTGGTGGTGTTGTCGCTGTTATTGCTGCCGCATAGCTGCGCTTATCATCGTATGTGTGTATGGCTTTCTTTCAATGTACTCTTTTGGTTCGCTCACTCGTTCACTTGCTCGCATTGTGTGTCGGTCCTGTCGACTTCATATTCGATCTGTTTGTTTATGTACTTGGATATGCGTACACAAACATTTTTGAATACGCTGGTGAATTATCAATTTTTTTTGTCTGTTCCCTTTTTCCTTCCTCATTTTATTGGAATTTCTCCCGTTTTTTTTTTTGTAGTGGTCTGCGTTTGTTGTAATTTCACACTATTTTGAGTTGGTTTGTGTGCGTCTCTCGATAAAGAAATATGTGTAAGCTTATCGGATGCACTTTATCTGATAGAGACATCGATCATAATTCAAAAGTATTAAATGCTTTTTATTTATTCATCAAGTACATTCATTTTGTATGTGTCTCGAGCACACGTACTCAGCGCCGGTATGTATGTATGATTTTCTCTCGTGCTTCACACACATCGCACCGTAAATCGGATTGTTTTTGTTTTACATTTCCGCTTTTGTGCTTTTGGAATTGGCAGTATCCAAAGTTATTTGTCTGTTGTGTCTTTAAGGCTTCACATCACTTTTTTTAAATTGATATTAAAATTACTGACATTGATTTTCTTCTCGATGAAATGGGTGTAATTTTCTTGTATATTCGAATAATAGCCGAGCATTAAAATCACAAGTGGAAAATATTCATCGTCAGAAAATTGACGTGCGTGCCGACGGCACATTGTTCAATCGACAATATTTTGCCACCTGAATAAATTCGAATACGAGACACAAAAGAAATCCACATGAATTCAACGATACACTCTGTTAATAGTTACCAATTTAATTTATCTAATTCTTATAATTATTAAAGTTTTTGACCTTAACACTGTGATTTTTTAAGGAAGCGGTAAATTATGGTGGATGGAAAAAAGAGACACGATTTACGTTTGTTAAGATTTTGAAAGTTTTTAACTAGATTTTGTTTGAAAATTGAGGGAAGTTTTCGGTTCACTTCAACTAATTGTGACCTCGTCATTTTTTACATTCCAATTTTCTTTTTCCGTATTGAATGCGATTTTAATTAACAATGATTGTTGTTTGAAAATGTTGTTTGCTTCTCCCTTTTCAATCTCTGTCATTACATGAACCAAATCCCCCATATTTTTTTTTTACAAAATACACGTTTAAAAAGAAGAATGTTGTTCCGGTTTCAACGAAAAAAGAACTTTGTGGGTTTTCTATTTTTATGAATCAATTGATGGTTCTCCGAATTGTTACCAAACCACCGCTTTTTTCTTTTTTTTTTTGAAAAAAAAAAAAAAAAATGCAATTATCTCTATCAAATTGGAAGTGGCGATAAAAAGCTGCTTTTTTTATATATGGTGTACTTGAATGTGCATTATATGTTTGTGTTTGTGTGAGCGATACTATCGATAATGATGATAGTGATTGCATATATTAGATGTCGAATGTCAATCAACGATAATATTCGAAATAAACAAAACAGTTATTTGTGTATTTGGGATTCAGGGTAGATGTGAGCCACGGCATTGCAAAAACTCTATTGAAATGATAGCCCAATACTTCCGCATTGTCTCGTAAATGACAAATAAATTATGGAATACCGTTTATTTATTATTATAGTAATTCTATATATTTTTCACCGATTTATTTCATTCAGTCGGTCAAGTCGTGAACAAGGTTTTATCGAAGCACCATGGCACGCCACCGCCAATCATGGAATACATGAACAAGTGCAAAATGAAAAAAAAGATCCGCACAAATTATTTAAAATAACCTCACCCCACGTCGATGGCAATAATATTTTATGATATTTTTATATAAACATGAACATTCATGAATAATTTAAAAAAAAAAACTGTGATTTCATTTGAAAATAATTTCACTATACTTCAAACCATTTTGTTTTCAATTTTTTTTTAATTGAATTAAATGATTTGTTTTTTTGAAGCCTCCATTTCCATTCTTGTTTTTCTTTCTCTGATTGCTAATATGAGAGGCTGAGAGTAAAAACAGCAATTAGCATCTCATCTCCTGCTCTCACTTACGGGAATTTCTGGTGGGATGCGACGTGCTATTTTTGCTCTCAGCCTCTCATATAATTTATGTATTCTGTCAGATTCCACGACATTCAGAAATGAATTCATTATTAAAATGATTAAAAATTGAACAATTTTCTTCGAATATATCGCACAAAAAAAAACAGAATTCCTGATAAATTTAATTTTACACTTGCTTTTAATTCAGCAAAAGAGACCTCAAATGCTTTTTTAAATGAATTAACGACATGGAATTGAGAATAAAACGAAATAAAAACGTATTAAAATTGATAAACAAAGTGAAATAATTAAATTGAATAAATAATTTAAAAATAAACGCTTCCAATAAAAACAAACCATTAGTTTCTTGATTTCGTTGAAAAATAATAGTTTTCTTCATAATGCATGTATATTTATAATACTCTTTTTGTTTCTCTTTCAATAGATCCAAACAACGCTGGTTCAATTCAACACAAAGACATTTCTGGAATGTGCGATCAAAATGAAAATCATTAAATCAACTGATTTGCTTTCAAAAACAATTTAGAGAAACCAAGCAAAAGTGTGTGAAAGAGAGTCGATCAAATCTTATAAAAAACAATATTACAATTGTGAAGACCAGTTTTAATTTTTTGGTTTTGTTTTCAAATTCATTTTGTGTAAAAGTCGATTGATATCAATTTTTAAGTCTCGAATAAGCCCGTCCGCCATTCAAAAGGCATTCATCGCACAAAACGAGTAAAATTGGAATATTGTTTGTGGGTGTGTTGTCAAAAAAAAATTCAAAATTTATTCGCCAACGCCATTTGACGCCGCTAAGGCGTTAAAGCTCGAAGAGGATTTCAACGGTGGATGCATGACAATGTCCATGTATCCATCGCCTGACAAAATGAAAATGAGTACAAGTGGCTGCTTTCCCGGCCGATACAGTCCGTCATATCGAGCACCCGATCAAATGCGACGATGCATGGGCAATCCATCGGTAAGTACCATTCACCATTTTCAGTAATTTGTGCCTTTTTCTTTTGTCATAATTTAGATGTGATTGACAAAAATCTGTAAAAGGTTCCGGTTTTTTGGTATCTTATATAGGCGACCGGTTTCAAAGTTTATTTTTGTATGTTTGTAAATATTTTAACAGAAAACAACAAAAAAGAACAGTTTGCCATTAATTGAATTCATATGTCTTGCATTTTCCATCAGTCGAATTAACAAGTTCGATACGAAATGTCTAATCACTTGATTTTTTGTTTCATCCTCTTCTTTGTTCGTTTTATGTTATTTGTCGCCTTAATTGAGAATGTGTTTGACACAATACGAATTAACAAAAGAAAAAAAGAGAAACAAACACTGAATTGCGATCAGCAGAGTCGGTGAAAATGAGTCTGAAATTGAGCTTGAATGGGAAACACAGAAACCGTATTACAGCAAACAAAATAAAAACACACACACACACAATTCAGCACTCACACAGCTTCGAAACGAACTGAAGAGATGTCGGTGTCATTTGAATATTTAATGAAGGTTATATTATATATCATTTCAAAGTTTGTCTCACTCTCCGCGCCAGGCGATTATATGTATTTTGCGTGTAGCTTGCATTTTGTGAGCGTTGACTATATATGAAGGGCGCGCGCTCATTTAAACATTCGAATCTGCAATTTTGAGACATAAAAAAAAGAAACGATCTCGTCCGAATCCAGCAAGATTGAGCGACGGGAGAGAGAGATAAAAGAGATTGAATTGTTTCTTATGTACAGATGACATCTAGACAAACTTCAACTATTCGTTCCAATGCAATTCCATGTGGAAAATGCAAAATCAAAGAAAGAGATGGCACTTTGGACGACAGGACAAGTTGAATCTATTTTTAATTTTATTTTTGCACTAAGTTCGACGTGCCAATAAGATGCGTCATTGTTACTGATCCTGCTTCTATTTTAGCTTTTTTTTATCGACTCGCCTTTTAAAGCACAACACAATGCTGATAAAAAATTTACAAACTCGCCAAGTTGTCAATACAAATTTATCGAGACGATAATTACCGAACGAAAAATGTATACACAAAATCTCGAAGATACACATACACATACTCCGTATCATCTCGTTGCTCTATATGTGTGTATCGATCGAAAGCAGTTGTCGTCCCCGAAATAAATAATTGAAGCAACTTTCTTAACATTGTTACAGTGACACTGATTTTAAGAAAATAGAATTGACATTTTCGATGCGAAATGCAAAAAGGCGAATTGGCAACAAGAATGGAAAATGGAGCTACCAATAGAAAAAGTCAAAGTTGAATGAAAATGTCAATTATTATTTATTGGATGATTTTTCCGTAGCATTTTACCTTTGTCTCGTCGTCATCTGTACATCCACACGTCGTCTGAATTTAGAGCGTTGAACAGACTCGATTCTTTTGAAATGGTACAACAGATGTGAGTCGATTCTATGTGTGGTTATCATTATGTGTTTCGGCTGGAAATTTTTATTTATCTTAGCTGACACATTATTCGCTTCGGCGATCTCGTTTTCTCTTTCTCACAAAATACAACAAAATTTTGGCGTGTTGACACATTTATCTTCTTCAAGTTTTTCTTTTTTAGCGACATTTTCTTTTTATCAAGAAATCTTGCAAGCTTCAACAAAACGACGCAAAAAAACACACGACACTGCTTAATTATTTAGTTTAATTGGTTTACGAAAGTCACACATAAATCGAGGAGAGTGAGAGAGAGAGCGACGAATATTTGAGAATGACATGAAACTTCGCACTGTATGACGGGCTTTAATTTGCCCATTTACAATGTTGTCACTTTTTGCTCTCTCTCTCTCTCTCGTCATAAATTGAATTATGAATATTGCAAATGAACCAATGCACATACATTTACAGCGTCTTCGGTAAATCAAAAGTCGTTAATTGTGTTCGTCGTAAAATTACCGACCCGAATTCTAATGATCGCAATTTATTTAACTTTGATGAAGTTGTAAAAATGACGGCAACCAAATGTCAGTTCAATTGCCTGGCAAATTTCACGAAAATATACGTACCGTTGCTGTCGTCGGTGTTGCTGCTACCATCGTCATCATTGTTTTCCACCCACCGATGATTAATTACCTTCTCTCAATCTAACGCCCGTTGTCTTGCTAACGTTTACTAAGCATTTTTAAGTGAGGCTGCTTCTGTTGCTGCAACCACTTAATCAAACGAAAACAACACACCGCTGTAATTAAGTCTATTCATTTGTCTATTTGCATCGTAAACCAAATGAACCTTTAACCGAAAACAAATAATAAATACGATGTCAAATTAAATTAGAAAATAATTCGTTATCTTGAAAGTTATTATACGTTGGTTTGTACACAACAAAGGTAACCTGTGATTTTCGCATCACTGATGCAGCATCACAGCCGTAAAAAGAATGCGCGCGATAAAAAATGGCATCACATTAATAATTGTAATATATATATTTTCGCTTTCCGTTCGAAATAAATAATGCTCCATTGCTACTTTGCTGTAATGACTTCATTCATTTCACAAATTACTCGGTAAATTCATCGGGGTTAAACCGCATGCACACATACACGGTTCGGGTATCGAGCAACGGTTGTCAAGCGAAATAAGAACTAAGTGACGGGTCAATGTCTATGTGTTTTCTTTAACTACGTCTCATTTTTCATTTTCCTTTTTCATTCTCCGTACAGTTCGTTTAATTTTCTGCCGCATGAACTCTATCTCGCACTCTATTACTCTCTCGTATTCTCTTAATTCTACCTCATTCTATCGCCAGCTTCCAAATACAGTGGGCGTTCACTTAATTTTAGCGAACAAAATTAAGAAGTTTTACCATTGTTTAACAAATCATAATATAAATATTATCACATAATCAGATTCATTTCACCGCAAATTGAATCGAATTTGTAACATGTATAATTGAGTTTGTATTCAAACCGCAACAATATTGGGCATTTTTGTTTATTTTGATTGAGATTATGGGTTTTTCGAAATAAATGAAATTAGTGGTCAGCTCTGATGTATCATTGGTATACTGGTAACTTAAACCCATTTCAGACGAGATGGAATTGACCAATCGGAAATTGATTTTCAATCGAATGGACACAATAAGTATAAGTCTATAGTTTTCGGGGGGGTTTTCATTTTCATCAGACATCGGAAGAGAAGCCCAATGGACTTGTTGTTGATGCGCATTTTACGTTCGTTTCCGGGATTTGCAAAGAAAAAAAAGAAGAAGATGAGATCCATCGCATTTGATAATGGGTTTCCATTTTTCACCGCATCATATTAAAATAAGTGCATTAACATACGATTTATATTCTACATCATTCAGGGACAATTCGAGGCGAAAACTAAATCTGCTCAAATTATTATCTCGATCTCTCAATTTCAACCATGCTTTTTGCCCTTTTCCTCTCATTTGGAAGGATTTGATATGAACAATCGGTTTACACATGCTTATTAATCTCTCTCTCTATGTGGCTTACATTTGCTGTTTCTTTTTTTTAACGTCCGCTAAGCGTTATGAAAGCTTCCACATTCGTCTACAATAAAATGAACATCGAACAAAAATCGAAAAAAAAGGAACGATCCTCAAAGCTAAAAAAACAGGAAACAAAAAATAAAAAAAGGATCCTTTTGGCTTCAAAGTTGAGTTGATTCATTCGGCTTTTTTGCTTGCCTAGGATATATTATTTGGCGAATCAAATCAGCTCGGATGAAACGAGTGGAGAATGAGCGGGAGACGAATGAAAAGAGGGAGAAAGAGAGCTATAAAGCAAATAAAGTGCCTTCAATTTAATGGAAAATCCATTCATACCCATCGCCATATACGCACCACTAATGTCTATAATATCTGTGTGTGTTATGAAAACTGTTGGTTTTTTTTTCTTCTTCTTTGCCTCGATTTATCCATTTCGCTATAATAATAGTATTGCCTGGTATATGTACTATCGGGTATGCTATGTGAGCGCAGAGAAAAAAAGCTGAACCATTCAACCAGTGTGTGTTTATGTACAGTATGCGTTTGAACTATGTATGTAGATTTTCAATGTAGAAAATGTACATTTTTCTCTCGTTCGTGTGTTTATTTTCGTTTTGTTGAGTATTTTTCATTCTGTTGTATGTTGCACCCTCACCCATTCGCCGTCGCTTGAGCGTCCCATGGGGAAATGATAAATGCTACACACACATACTGTATACACAATATGCTCCTCGTTTATTGACTCGATCCATTGAGCAACATGAAAAAAAAAAAAACAACGAAACATACGCATCGTCTCATGTGTGTGCACCATGTTCATTCGCTTATTTTTCTTCGTTATTTTTTTCTTCTTCTTCTCTTCCTCTTCATCATCACTGAATCGTACTTTTATTGAAAATTTGTGTGTTGATTATATTTAGTTTTAAAGTAATCGCAATTTGTTAAGAAAAGAAATATTTTGGTGTTGGAACATTTTGAAGAATTCAAATCAAGCGAATGTACTTCTCATTCACCAGAAAGCTCATTCACCATTTTGCTCTCGGTTCAAAACTCTGATGTTTCTCGTACTCTTGTACTGTACCTAGGTGATGCACACTCATACAATTCATGAAAAATGCTCGATCGAAAATGCTTCCATGTTATGTGACCAGTGTCTCCATGGCATATTGATTTTATGGCTGTTTAGTGTGCGTTCATTATTTTATGGCTATCAATCGCTCTTCCCATTATTTTCCTCGTTGTCGCTTTTCATCTCATTTTCTCTCACTCCCGTTCTATTTTGTAAAACAAGAAAAGCGGCTTTAGTTTCGTTGATCAAGTTTTCGAAATGTTGCTGTGAATGTACTCGTAACATTTCCGTGGCTGGAAAATTCATGTTATTTTGGTTTGTTTCTCTCGTTCAAAACTTTCAAATCACCAAAAAAAAAACCAACGAGACACGCACAAAACTTATTTCACCCATGCGATACATTTTCCCCAAACT